GAACTGCCCCAGCCCCAGTAAAAACCAGGGGTTTATGTGAAATAGTTCTTTTTTGAAATAATGGTTTTAGTGTGCAATTATAGGTTTTAAATGTTGTATTTGCGTTAATTTAAAATAAATCAAACTCCCAAAAAACGTATACAGCTTTTATTAACATTGGAATGTACTGTGTAAGCGGCCGCGGGGGGAGAGCTTTAGAGAGCTCTCTCCTGAAAGACTGAGAGGCTCTGATAACCTCAGCTCAGTGAGGTAAAGGCACACCTTTATATGATCATTATAGTTATAAAAAAATAAGAGAATATATTTTCATCTATTCTCTTATAGTATAAAATACTATATGACAGTAAAAAAAAAGTTGTTATTAATAAACAAGAATACAGTTTAAAATCAATCAATCCATCATCAATCATTTGGGGGGGGGGGCGCCAGCTAAAATCTTGCCTAGGGCAGCAAATTGGTCAGGGCCGGCCCTGAGAAATTGCATTGGTTTTTGTCGAAGGAACCGGAAGGAGTTAAATGCTAACTTACTTCCGGGTTTTAGGACGCGTCACTGTGGCACTCTATTGCACAATTGTGATGTTGAGCAGAGGAAATGTAGACTGTTAATACATTGCTTATCAAAACTACAAACATTAAGATAATTAAAACAATGATTCAGCTCTGTGTAAACATTTAAAAAGTAAATTAAAAAAACACATCTAGCCATATAGGATGTATTGACACTGTTAATGTTGGTTGTAGACTTGTTCTGGGATAATGAAAATCAACTGAGGTTGAAGCAGTTTAATCTTTTAGGGAAAGTATACTGTAGGGTCTGAGAAGTCTCAGTCACACTGTCAAAAGGAATATTATGGACTTTGGCAAGTATACTAAATTGCAGACTGCTTTCAAATTATTAAAATATCATTTAAATATAAAATGGACCATGCAAACTCATGTTTGTTCATAGGGTTTGGATAAGGATCAATGTGGTTATAAAGCTTCCTGCTATGAATAATTCAACGTGTCAGTCCATCCCCAAACAATCATGTATGACAGAAGGCTGGATCCATACTGGATGCCCTTGCTCAATGTCCATTTCCACAGACATGCACAGTAAACTTACATGTCTCAGCCACAGATTTGTCTCCATGATCTGATTGATTTCATCCTGAGTAAAAGAGCAGAATAGATAATGAAGACATTTAAGCAAAGAAAGAAGATGTAAATGAAGACTAAACAGGAAGAACACCGTCACATCCGATCATTCAATTCACCAGTGAGGATTGTTTGTGTGCTTTTGGCCGGGTCAGACCTCTGCGTTTCACACAAGAGGATTAACACAGACACACCTGGGTCGGCCTCCAATGCCTGGAGCATAACCCTCATGACAGCTGAAGTCAGGGGTCACAGTAACCTAACTTTAATTCTAATAACCCTGCTGGAGCAGAACAAGGGAGGGATGAACCACTGTAGGGCCAGGTTTATGTGGACCGAGAATCAACAAGTCTCATGACACAGTATATAGCGTTGACTAATCATATTACCATGTAGGGTCTAGGAGAGGTTCTACGTGACCAGTAAGCATAGATGGACAGAATGCCGTGGGAAAACCTTTATTGGATTATCTTTGGGAGACTGATAGCAGATGTCCTGTAATCTATCGTTAAACCACTCAGACACACAAAGGAAATATAGCATGTTCTGGTTTGGATCAGATGATGATTCATCGAGGATTTTGTGTGTTCAGGGTGTAAAAATAAGGCTTTACATTGTTTTCCCCTTCCCTTCAAAATGCAGGATTAGATGACCAACATGATCAAATCATTACATGCGATGATCATGACATCTAGTAACACATTTTGGTAATGCATACGCTTAGCTGAGAATATCAATACCACTCTTATGACAGTGCATTTGTTTTGAAGCTACGTCAGTTAGCTTAGTTAAACTTTAGCACAAAGACAGCTATCCCATCATTTAATTCATACACTTTGTTTTTTGTACGGATTCAACAAATGGGACATAATATTAATAAATGAGCTTCAAAGGTAATAGTTGGCAAATTGTGTGATCTTTAAAAAATAAGAGCCAAGCTACAGTGTCCCTGTTTCCAGTATCAATGCTAAGCTAACTGACCTATAAGTTGAAAGAAGGTGAATAAGCACATTTCTCAGGTACATTTGTTATGTGGAGTGGCATTGGCTCGAAAATGGGGGTCGGAGTTAATGGGAACTAGATAGCTAAAGAGTTACATTAAAATTATATTAATGTACATCCACATCATAAGAGATGAACTATTGATGGTCTAGATGAGCTCATTAGCCCTGCTGTAATTGGTGTACGCTGACCAACACCTCTTGCACCTGGGTTAGAAGCACCAGGTGTGTGGAGGGAATAAAAGTCATCCATCAGCACGAGGGGCGCCACAGCCTGCTACATCGACTGAGTTAAGGAGAATATAACTAAATATACTGCATCTCTGGATCTCGACAGGTCTTCAATACTGAAAAAGATTGCTTGTTGAAAATGGGTAAAGGAAAACAGATTGAGATGGGCTAAGGTGTGGCAGACACTAAATTATCCATTCAAACTCACTGGCACCTTGTGTAAGAATAAAATGTGAAATGCTTTGACACTATTGGCTCATGTTGTTATTGACAATTACAACGTAAAGTCTTTAGGGAACGAGCATGAACTTACTTCCTGCGTTGTCTTACCAGCAACTTTCGTGTGTTTTTAATTATCAGTTCTTTGGAGTGCTGGGATAAGTGTGAGATTTCCCCGTAGTTGGATCTAGAATTGGCATTCAAAAGCACCTTTTGATTCCTCACCTGATGACCTGTGTTAGGACATGAGGACATCCAGCAGTGACTGAAGGGGAGAATTGTAGAGTTCAAGAGAGTAACACTAGAAAAGGAAATATTTTGAATATTTAAAGGCTGTTAAATGTCTATTCTTCCACTTCCATTCTTAGTTGCCATTAAGTCAGCCGATATCACACACAAGCACACCAACACAAGGATTTTTGAAGTAGCTGTGTTTACTCTCTTTGTATTGCAAATGAGAACTTTGATAATGATATGATGATAATTGTGCAATGCAAAGATTGTTGTTCTACTATATGATTTGTGGTTGTGAATTACTATGGTATGCTAAGCTAATACGTCTCCTTATTGAGTTTAGTAAAATGATTCAAATAAAAAAACAGATAGACTGATTTAAAAGAGAATAAACCAAGGTTGTTAATACTGTGCATGAAGCTGCCTTCCCCGTCTAATGTGAGCCTCTTTGCTTAATCAATAGCCATCCGCTCGAGACCTTCCTGCGTCTCTGTCTGCCAGGTCCAGCTCACCCTGCCCTTAAATCCAAAGGTGATCCTCTGAAGTGGCAGTGATTGAGTGATAGAGGTCCTCAGGCAGCTGACATTCCCCATCTTGTCTGGGCCAAACAAACAGCCGCACTTCTTTCATTTAGTACTTTCTTTACACCAGGGGCTACTGCAAACTGGCAGGGAGTATCTCAGGTGTCTCATTCTGCATCCCCAGTGTCCCCTACTCTGAAACTGTGTTGCTAAAAGTCCAGATAACAACACAATCAGTCTATGGCTCAGACCCTTCACATTTGATGCTGTCTTTATATTTCCTAGTTATTTTCTCTCAGGTCATGACTGCTCATTAAGCAGAGTGTTAAATGTCTGACTATGGCAAAGTAGCACCCCGTAATAAGTCATATTTACTGTAGACATGCATTAACATTTAGTAGGCTACTTACCACTTTGACCAGCTGTGACATGGACACCTCGAACTGTACAACGACTGGGTCAGTCACATTTTCCACCGGCCGTATGTACTGGTTATATTTGGAGAATATGACAGAGAAGAGCTTGTGCTCTGCGTCTGAACAGGAGCCTCCTGAATGAGAGCAGAGGATCAGATCTGTCACTGCAATGTAGTTTATTTGATTTAACAGTACAGCTTGTTTAGTCCGGGGGAGCATGCACATGCCTTCATATTTAGATTAGGTTTAATCACCACTTTCCTTTCACCTTCAAAAGTGCTGTATTTGTAATTTTGAGGTTTTCTTCAGTGTAAAGAAGTAATCATTTGCACTGCATGCATTAAAACCATGTATCCCTAAAAATCATAATTTATTACCTTCATTTTAATGAGTATTTTTTTTAATGTCTTTACTAAACAAGGAACATGCACATAAAATATACAATAATCTCAAAAAGAGAAGACATTTTCTTTGCATGGTTTTGATATTAGGTATATTTCAAAACTCGGCTGATCTGCTATTTTTTAAATGTCTATGTATGGTTTAATCCATTTTGATTGACAGTAAGAGCCTTCAAATGTGTGTTTTTGATATTTTTTAAATAACTTAATAATAACCAAAGAATCTAACAATATAATACACATGTTTTTGTATTAATTAATCCAATTGTAAATGCATCTTTAATTGTGCCATTAATACTTAACAGCAATGCCAAACAACAAGTAACAAAATGCTAGATGTTAAGTAGAAGCTATACATCCCCATTTTCCCCTTTAAACTGTGGGGTTTTTCCTTTTTTGGAAGTTTTTCCTTGTACGATGTGAGGGTCTGAGGACAGAGGGTGTCGTAATGTCATACTGATATTCTGTACAAACTGTGAAGTCCACTGAGACAAATGTAACATTTGTGATATTGGGCTATATAAATAAACATTGATTGATTGATTGAAGCTAATAACTCACCTTCTAGATGAAACAGGAGGAAGAAGCATGAGAGCAAAACGGAGCAAAAAGTGGCTTCCATTGTTTTTTAAATCACAAGTCTGTATTTTGTATCCAGGGTCAGAGGCAGCAGCGGCAGACAGAAGGAGAAAGTGAAGAGTGAAAGCGCGTCCGCAGCTCCAGAGGGAGGTAGAGGGGAGGAAGAGAGGAGGCAGAGAGGAGAGGAGGCTGAGGGGAGGAAGAGAGGAGGCAGAGCCACACTGAGCCACTGAGAGGGGGCTCACTGCAAACCTACTGCCACCTAATCTCATAAATTCAATGTCACTGCGAGTTTGTCACTTAAAGATCACAACAGACGTGCAGTAGGTCACACAAAACAGCCTTGACATTGATTTTGCCTATAGTTCCTTGCAGGATGTCAGTGCTTTGTTGTTTCACACGCAGTTTTATCGTTTATGAATTAGAAAAACCCCAACATAGTGAATTCAATTAATACGCATCTACGCACACACTTGAACACAAATAAATGAAACACGTTTGCAGCAAGGGCCACGTATCATAAACGTCCGTCCCTTTAGTCCCCTTAAAACATATTTTCTTAATCAGCTTCAACCTTGAGGTGATTTGATCCTACATTAAAATAGTTTTTCTTGCCGAATCTACTGCAGTTTTTAGTTATATTACTTAATTTCAGTATTTCTCTTTCTCTGTGCTTAACTCACATGTCTGAAGTGGGCGGGGCTAATTTGGAAAAGAGTGATGTCACGTACTTCCAGGCACCAATCCGGATGTAGCATTTAAATGCGACTCTAAAATGTGTGGGCTTTAACTGTCAGTCAAAAATGTTATCAAAATGTACCTGCAGGGTAAAAGAAGCAGAGCAACTGAGCTTTGGTTGTTAAAATCTCGCATTCATAAATAAATATTAGTCGGAAATAAGTGTTAAATATTTATAAAAAACACGTATTATTTGAAGCCACATTTTTAGGGACTGCTGCATAAAGACCTTTCTAGCATCAGGTTGTGCCCACGATGAATTCACACAGATCTTCTCATCACAGTGTTTATTAAATAAGTCCATATTAAATAAACAAATAGCCTTCATTTCTGAGGACAAGATCAATATCCACTGCATGTGCTACTGTTCAGCCCTCAGCAACAGCTTATGAACACAACAGAATCCTTCTTCATTGATTATGTATTGATTTTATTTAAAAAATAAGAAAAATATGTCAATATTTGCCCTGATGCCCACTTTTAATTTGAAAATAGATATCTTTGACTCGGATATTCCTTTTTTCCAATCTTTATTGTCAGTTCAGAGACAGTGTCCTTCTGTTGGATGAAGGGTCTGAGAGCTTTTCAGCAAACATTCACCCTGCTGAAGTGACCCCCAAACGATAAATAAACCCCTCCCAGCAGCAGAGATACTGTGTGGTGTCTGACCCTGCACTGTCAACTCATTTAAGTGGGGCAAGTGTTGGCAAGAACTGTCCCCATGTGGGTTTAATTTCACATCACATAGATGTCCAACAAATGTTAATGTAACCTTCATTTTCACAGACAGTGCAGAATGAAACTTAGGTTGATATATGCACTTATACAATTTTTCCACTCAGGCCTGTCTTGTTGCAAAAAGTCTGTATATGTAAAAGGAAGTGGAAGAAGTCATTTTGACTGGACCCTAATATTTTTGAGGACTTTGTAATGGCGGATTCTTGTTAGAAACTCGTCAATGATTGCTTAAGTGGCAGATCAATCCTCAAGGACGATGCTTCCATGCATATCTTATTGGAGACTAATGACATAGGCTTGTGATTTATTGGACCTTCCATCGAGTGTTGAATGACGACTCCTCCCGCTTTGTTTCGACTGAAACAGATGAGGAATTGTTGATGGATATGCCGTGGCAGTGCAATGTCTCTCTCCACTAATGACAGTGGAGCTGAAAGACGAATGAGAAACCCCTGCATGATGCTAAAAACTGTAAAGAGAGATTAAGGAAAAGCATTAACAACGATGTTGATTGCTGTCTCTCAAAAGAAGGAACAGCCTGCAGAATCTCAAACGAGCCCACTCAGCACAGTTTATTGAGCTGTAAAGGTTGTGTGTTGGTGAGCGTTTACTTCAGCATTTGCTCATGTGTTTTCTTTGTGAAGCATCATTTCTTTGTCGGCCTGCAACTGCCTGTATGTACCTTTTCTGTTGGTGACAGACATTACCTCTTGTGGAATGAAACACGTTAATTTCCATAAGATTACGGTGTCTGGAACGAATACACTTTATCACCATGTTGCACACAATTTTAAAAACCTTTTTTTTTTATCGTAGTGCCTGAAAATGTTATAGAATTTGCACTCATTTGGATTTCAAAATACTTCATTGTAAAAATACTGAAATGTTACCGATAACGCAAGACCTGTTAAAGGTGGGGTAGCCTATAGGTAAGTTTGAGAAACCGGCTCGAGATACACTTTTTGTTATATTCCATGGAATGCTCTTAACATCCCGATAGCAATGAATATCTGAAGTGCTTTGACAAAACATCCATACAAAAATGTAATCAGTGGAAGCCGTAGCACCGTAAAAAGCACGACCAATCATTTGAGCCGGCCCGGCTAAAATAACTGGATGGCCTACCTGCCTGTCAGCCTTCCATCTGTGCACAAACTTATCTCGTGCCCTCATTGGTCATGTGCGCTTTCGTGTGTGTTGGAAGAGGGGCTCTGTAAGGAAGTCTGAAGGAAGTGGCAGATTTTTTCCGGCTGTGTATTTTCATATTCTATCGCACTCGAGCTGGTTTTTCCAAAATTACCTATCCCACCTTTAAAAACCAAATCTCTTAAAAAGGGGCTGCAACGGATCTGATACAGACTGATCCAGATTTGAACACTTATGTGACGTCACAGAAGTGGCGCTACGGCTATTGGTGCCAACTCCACCAATCAGGAGGAGACAGCCACGGACATTGCCGTTCGAAAGCGCTGGAGACGCTGTAGTACATATGCCGGGCCTGTAGATGGTGCTGTTCTCACAGAATAAGCTCATGCAAAGACAGTGTTAAATTGAGCGAAATGAGGAATGGCTAAAATGCATGATCTGTTTGGTATTTTGAAAAATAAAAAAGTATAAATATGCCTTATATAGGTATGGTCCTACACTATATTATTAAAATATAGCATGATAGGTCCACTTTAAGGTAAGATGGCGCCTGCCCATTAACGGCTTTGTAGGCGAGAAGAAGAATTTTAAATTCTATCCTGTGTTCTAGGGTGCTAGTGAATTAATTTGTTTGTAAAGTTTGAGAAACAGAGCCTCGTTGCGGGGCCAATCTATTACAGATGGTAGCTCCGCCCCTGAAATGTCTATGCCAAACGTTATTATTAATAGATTAATAAAAAATTAAAAATTACAAAAAAATTTTATCAATTTTTTTTTATAATTTAATTTGTAATCGTCTCGCGCGACCCCCACTTTGGGAACCCCTGTTCTAGGTGGAGCAGTGTAAGGCATGCCAGAAACAGCAGTAATTCTGGTCCATTTCGAGATGGGGTCGTTACTAAAACAATTAATATTTACATATTACT